CGAAACATTTCACTAAAGAAGAACCCATCCAGAGGACCTACTGATTTTTTCTTTTTGATTTTTTTCTACCTGGATTACTGAGATATTTGTTAGAATTTAGTTTGTAAACACTTTAGATGCGTGTTAACATTTAAAATAGTCTATATAAAACCTTGCATGTCAGAGTTTTAAACTAAAATCCTATTCAGTTTTAGATGGACATCAAAGTGATCAAGTTCAGAGAGTTTCATTAAAATCCTTTCAGTGGGTCATGTGATATTTTAACCAACAGACAAATACATTACTGTGTTTCATAGCTGCAGCTGGTTTAGAAAAACAACTATAAAGGCATTATTCTGAGTTTCCAAATGACATTTTGCTGACACTTTTTATTCTCACATATATTCTGAATTAAATGTTTTTTTGTTGTGAAGTTAATTTATTCAGCACTAGAGGGCACCACCTGCCTGTGCCAAACAAAACAAAGAAATTAAGTCAGTTCTTTGAAAGAGGGAAACAACTTGTATGAATTTTAGATTTTACAAGTGTAAGAAAGTGTCGTTAATTGCTGCTGAAGTAAACACAGGAGACAAATTCAAATTTAGACTTGAACATTGAATTGCAGCGTATAAAGTCTTACACTCTGGGTAAAACACCAATAAAACATTAGATTTAGATTGTACCTGTTGATCTGTTTGCTGAGAAGCTCAGTGAAAATGTGTAAAAGGATGTTTTCCTCATCAGGATTTTGAGCTGAACTGCGAGCTAAAAACTGGAGTTGTTTGTCTCCTGGAGGAGGTGCTGCGAGACCCTGACCTGCTGCCTCAGGAGAGGAAAGCTGCAACCAACCTTTTAAGGTACGTTACTACCCTGTTATCCCATGTAGCACACAGATAGAGCCTGGTAAAAAAAAAACATTAGGTTGAATATTAAAATCCCTGTGACATGCACTTCCTTCGAATTCAAAAAGTCAAAGGAAATATCTTTATATAAACTGGACAAAATACACAATTTTATCCATTTTGTCACATAACCTGCAGATTTTCTTCTGAGCTTGTCTCAGCAAATGAGAAACAGTAAGTGACATCAAATGAGATCTTTGTTTATTGAAGGAATATTATTTCAACCCTGACTCCTTCATCTCTTATAGTGACTCAAAATAATTTAAAGAAACATCAGATTCTCTACAGTTTGTGCTGTTAGCCGTCGTATCGATGCTCTATTCAGACATTCCCGTTTGTCATCATTTCCTGTTACTTCACATGTAAATATCTCAGCAACTGTTCATCTCAGCAGCATGGTTTTTTTGTGATATGTTATCAAAGTTATCTTTCTAAAAAAGCATTAACATTCGTTATGAAAAATTGATGTCACAGGCACTTTAAATGGAGCGAGATGCTCAGTTTGTTTACACAGACAAACTGTTCTGATTGTTGTACTGTGTAACAATCTGTTTGGTTCTCCAGTGCACTTTCTCAGGAAGATCAAGATGACGCTCAGCTGAGGATTGAGGACATACTACAGATGGTCAGTATCAGTACACACACAAAGTATTAAGACACACTTCACTTAGTTAAATGTTGTATTGCATCCTGATGCTACAGTTGTTTAAACTAACTTATTGCTCATTATTACTCCAAGTACCTTGCAATAACAAAAAGAAAAAGTATACCTTATTTAGTCATTTTAATTTTTTTAAATACTGAAATGTCACAATTACGTACAAATCCAGACCCTCTGCAAAGGATTTCTTGCTGAAAGTGCATGTCAGAGCAAAAATCAAACAATGAGGTCAGAGCCAGGATTGTTGAGAGACACAGATCTGTAGGAAACTATAAAAACACTGTTGTGGCTCTCAAGGTTTCCAAAGTTCAGAGATCCATTAATCTCAAGTGGAAAACGTTTGGCACAACCAGCCTTTTCCAAACACCCGACCTTAGTATGAGAGGTGTTTGAGAACCCGATGAAGGATCCTGTGTAGACGGGTTGACATAATCCTGGGCTGAAAGTCACAATAGTGGCAGAGAGAGAAACGAAGACTCAGAGACTGAACACAAAATTGAATAGTTTATTCTACACATTCTCACTCCCAACTCGTCACATATTGACGTTTAAGGTAAGGTTCCCTCTGCGTCTTATTTGGACGCAGAAGGTACCCCCCTCGCGTCACTCCTTGACGCCCACGGCTTTTCCGGGTTGCGCCACCAGGGGSCTTTGGGGCGGGTGTCTGAGGTTAACATGAGGGATCAGGTTTAATGGTTAAGTTTAGGTACTGGGATCAGGGGTAGGATGTCCATGGTGAATATTAGGTCATTTTAKGCTTTAGAACATGTTCACCTGAATTTCGTAKATTTTCTAAAAATGGTTAATTTTACCTACTAGGGTCAGGGACAGGATGTCTAAAGTGAACTAAGGTAATTTCAGGCTTTGGAACGGTCGTTTTTGCGCATTTTGTACACTTTATGAACATATGACAACAGCTTCCGCCCCATCTCGTCAGTAACTGACGTGAGGGGGGTACCCCGCGCGTCAAAATCGGACGTAGAGGGAACCTTGCAAAACGTCAATATGTGACGAGTTGGGAGTGAGAATGGGTTGGTTTATTTGGTGCCATTTACAAATGTGAGTTCAGGACTCAGGAGGGGAGGAGCTGACAGATGCCACAAGGGTTGGGCGAAATTGGCAAAAAATGTATCACGATTAATTGTGGCATTTAGCCGATAACGATTAATACTAAGTTTAATACGTTTAGTAGATGTTTAATAAATGACAATTGCACTTGCATATAGCTGACATTGTGATAGCGTGTCACACACAAAACTATGGAGAGACTTATTTTTTTCAAAATACAATAAATATTAGGGCTGTGTATTGGCAAGAATTTGGCGATATGATACATATCATGACAGACGGGTCACGATGCGATATATCCCGATATATTGCGATACTGTAAGCAAGGAGATATATTGCGATATATTGCGATTTTTTTTGGTCCAAAGGTTCTATTAAATAAAAACCTCTTACTGGAAAAAAAATGAAAAACCAAAATTCATTGTCTCAGAAAATTCTATTACATAGACATAGGGAAATGAAATATCGCGATATTTCAGTGTATCGATATTTTCTTACACCCCTAATAAATAAATATATGAATAAAGAAAGAATATAAAGACATGCTAAAAAATGTATTAAAAATTTTAATTTTGTTTTATTTCATGGGGACATTTAGGTATTTGATGGAATATGTATTAATGCTTTATTAATTACATTATTTATTTATTTACTGTATTTGGGGAAAAAATGGCTCTCCATACAAAACTACATCATCATATGGCTTTAATTGCAGTAATTGCAAAGTGGCAAACATTAATTATTGACAGTGTTTCTGACGATTAACTTCGCACGACACAATTTTTTCCAAACCCAGTAGAAATGGGACTCATTTCCAGGTGAATATAACTACAGGCCTCTACTGATCTGGGTCTGATCAGAATTGCTTCATGGGAGCCTCCTATGTGTGAAACTACTGTGGTACTACTAGTACTACTACTACTACTACTGCTGCTACTACTACTACTAATAATAATAATAATAATAATAATAATAATAATAATAATAACAATAATAAAAATAATAATAATAATACTTTATACTGTCAGAAACAAGATTATCTGATTAAAAAAAAGACTAAACTGTTGGGCCATGATTCTAAATTTTATGTCTGAAGGATACCAACCATCATCTGCCAAAACACCATTCCAAAAGTAAAGCACGGTGGTGGCAGCATCATGATGTGGGCAGGTTGTTTTATGCAGCTGGAAGGCCGATCAGGGTGACAGCAAGTCAAACAGAGCAAAGTATAGAGATATTATAATAAAAAAGCTGTTTCACTGAGTGCAGGACCTCAGACTGAGCTGAAGTGGCTTTTCAACATGAGCCAAAGCACACTTTAACCACAACACACAGATCACATCAGAGGAGACCTGGAGATTTAACCAGAGGAAGTATGAGGAGATTTACAAAAAAGGTCTCATCTACAACACGTTGCATCAAATTTAGCTGCTGTAAAGGGTCTGAATACTTATGTAAATGTGATATTTAAGTTGTTTTTTTCTTATATAAATTGACTAAATGTAACAAAAATCAGTTTTCTCCGTCATTCTGAGTGTAGATTTGTGAGTAAATTAGAACTGAAACACTTTTATCATCAGGCTGAGTGTCTGAATACTTAATTGTAAGTAGCACTTCACTGAAGCTTTTAAAGCTAAAGTTTAAACTGCTTTATTTCCTGGTTGTGGAACAGAAAAGCTGTCCTCTCCTTCACTTCATTGTGGTAAGACTAATGTTTTTGTCGTTGTTTAATAAAACCCCAGCTGTAGATGATGTTGTGAACTTTGTCACATTTTTTCAGTGTTTCCCCACACACGTGGGGTTGTGTTTGTGGGATTTTGTTCTTTGTTTGTATTTTTGGGGGTCTAATGGTCTCTTTCTATGGAGGACCAAACCTATGATTATTGGAAATAAATGTATAAATATATAACTGGCGTA